TCAAAGTGTTCATTAACAACATGTCTATGGGGACAATTGAAAGTAGTATGCAAAACACTTGAACATGTCATGCAAGGCTCACAGAGATGAGTTGTATGATGAAAAAGAGACACATTGGTAGCCGGTTTTTGATTCAACAAGAATTTGATCAAGTTTTTAAGAAAGAGTTTTAACCTCGGCTACAATTTCCCTTAAATTATCGATTTGACACGCTGTTACACTTTCCTCCTTTTTAGTAAAACCATGGTCAAGCCGAGAAGTGTAATATTTGTGCAAAGAATTTTCACTCATTTTTTCAAAGAGGTGCCAAATGTCATCTTCATGTTTTCCAAAATATGAACCCCCACATGAGGTATTAACTATGTCCTTTTGCATGTCAGATAGGCATTCATAGAAGTATTGGACAACTTGGCATTTTAGAATACCATGGTGTGGACACTTTCTTACCAAGTCATTCAATCTCTCCTACACCTCATGCAACAACTCTCCTTCCCTTTGAGAAAATTGTCTAATTGAAGCACACATTACATTGGTCAAACTTACGGGGTAATTTTTTTTAAAAAACTCAGTTTGCATTTGTGCCCAAGATGTTATTGAATTCACCCCTAAAGTATTGAACCAATGTTTTGCTTTATTTTTAAGTGTGAAAGGGAAGAGGAGTAATTTAAGAACTTCCTCCGGGACATCCATGTACATCACGGTGGAACATAGTTCAAGAAATTCATTGAGATGCCTATATGGTTCCTCTTCATCCAAGCCATAAAAGAGTGGACACATTTGAATGGTCCCGGGCTTGATTTCATATTGATTAGCCTCAAAATTAGGCAACATAATGCAAGTAGGTGCATGGTATGCATGAAGATTATAATGATCACGAAGGACCATTGGAGCTTGAACTCCGGGGTCGTATTGATTAAAAGGTAGGTTATGCATGAAATGTGGGTCTAAGTAGCCAAGATTACCCTCTAGATTTTCCATGTGAATGCCTAGAATGTATGATAGGACAAGGTCTATACAAGGCTACAAACGACACACAAATCACCACAAAACAAGCAAGCACTCCTTCTTCGCAACGAATCAACAATTAACAAACTTCCTCCACATACAATGTTCCCATACTCCCATGCTTTGATAACAATGCAAAGTAAAGTAAATAGCCTCCACGCAGGCTCACGATTTATCTAAGAATTCAAAAACAAGCCTCCACGCGGGCCGACGATTTAACTAAGGGATTGAGTAAGAAAGTCTCACAAAGGTCCTTTAGCACTTCAACTCCAAATTTAAAGCTTAGCTTAGCAAAATTTTTTTAATTATTTTTAGCACTTTTCCTTGCTTGCCTAGCTCCTTTACTTGATGGCTCCTTTGCTTGATGGCTCATTTGCTTGCATCCTAGCTCAATACTCCTTGTAAAAGATGAACAAACACATTAAGTAATCTAAAGGAAAAACAAAGTAAAGATAAGATCAAAAGAATACTAATTCCTAATTGATTCCACAACTACAACGTTGCCTAATCCCCGGCAATGGCGCCAAAATTTGATGCGTTAAAGCCGTTCCTTGTACGCCAAAATTGATGTAGTGAATGTGCGGTTCAAGAAAAGCCTTTTGGGTCAAGTTTGAATTTATAAAAACCACTACCAACACTACTACTAAAGTAGCAAGAGTGAGTAGGGATCGTCCCAAGGGATTGGAGTTGTACTTGAATGTGAAAATGCAACTAGGGTTAGTAGGTCGAGTGATCAAACAAATAGTTGGTTGGGTAAGTAAACTAGAGAGCAACTAAATTAAACTAAGTGATTGAATGTAACAAGAGTAAGCAAGAGAGAGAGAGAGAGATCTTGGGGTTTAAAGGTCACCACCAAGCAATGCTTTTCTACACTTCCAACTAGTGACTAATGAGGGTAAAGTGTGTTGCAATATTTGTGTGTGTGTGTTTGGTTGATTCAATTAGCAAGGGTGACCAATTTAAGCATACATTGTCTAATCAACATATGAAAAGCACAATATATCTAGCAATTAAGTATATATTATCTAAATAGCATGTGAAAAGCACAACATATCTAGCAAGTCAATAATCCTTTCATTAAGCTCACAAGCCGAACACACCACAAGGTTAGAGACATACGCTACTTGCATTCAAAAGTATGGAACATCAAACAACTAGCATAGATTGTCCTCTCATCTAACAATTATGCTATCACTACACTACAATTAAACTAATGGCATGAAATTAAACTAACTAAGCTAAGGGAGAGGCATAATCCATCAAGAAGTGAGCATGGACCATCTAGAAAATCACAAGAACATTCTTTTAAGCACAATGTTTTGACAATCCCTAAATCCATAGCATTAATACACATAGACATGCATCAATTACACAAGAAATAGAGGTAAACACATGAACATCTATTCTAGCATACATAGACATATGGATAGAATGAAATGAATGATTGGAAGCATTAAACCACATAAATCATTGAATAAACAAGATCTATATGTATAAAAGTGTCAAAACATTAATTACAACACTAATCCCTCAATAATACACAAGATTAAGATATAGAAAGCATGCTCGGGACTAACTCTAGCCCCAAGAGGATGTCTAGCGACTCATGGTAATGATGCTTCAACCCTCAAGGGCTAATTCCATGGTTGTAATCTGCTCCTTGTTGATGAAGAGTCTCCAATGGTGTCTCTAGCCTCCTCTTCCTCTAAGCTTCCTTTCCAAGAGATGATATGAAAATAATGTTGGCTCCCCTTGTAAAAAGCAATCCTTATCCTTATATAGGTAGGTCAAAATGACACCCAAAATGAGCTGGGGTCGTGCACATAATATTCCCTAATGATTGGATAAAGGACAACTTTCAATGAGATGGAATTTTAACTTTTTCGCACTGGAGGAAGTTCGATCGATCGAACCTTGAACTTGGATCGATTGAAAGTAAGTGAGATCGATCGAACTTAGGTTGGATCAATCCAATTGGCTAAGCTTTTTGGAAAAAAGACAAATCCGAGATATTCATGGGATATATTTATGGGAAAATGACAAAAATGGTTAGTGGGTGGTAAAACTGTGGATAGGATCAATATTTTGAATAAGGACAAAAGTATTCGATCGATCAAATGATGGTGTTGGATCGATCGAACTTTTGGAACTTTATGCTTTTGGGTCAAGGCTTGGATCTATCTTGAAGTGCTGAGATCGATCATTGTTCGATCAATCGAACCTTGAACTTGGATCGATTGAACTTTGCTGCTTGCCACGTTTGGCTTCATTTGCTTCCTTCTTTCTCCACTTTGCTCCTTTCTTTGTTTAATCCCAGAATTGCTTCAATTAAGCTCTTATTTGGCTGAGTTAGCTTATTTTTGGGATAAGTGCCTGAAAAAGGAAATAATACGAAATCAATCTAAAATGGTAAAGTAAGATAGATAAAGGTACTAGAATGCCTAAGCTTAAGGGGTTTAAATACGCACTTTTCAGCGCTCATCAAATTGTATAGGAGAGAAACGTGGAGGACAAGCATAGCAAATCCTAGCATAATTCTACCTCAATTTGTATATAATAGAGGCATAGACCTCCAATAAAGATCATCAAGTATTACAGACTTTTAACTGTTCTTATTATTTCATTGAGTGAATTGTTCTTTTGTTTGAGTGAGTTGCTTTTATTCTTTGGCTTTTTAAAGTTAACGAATTTTTGCACCGACAATTTGGCGCCGTCTGTGGGAAACGTATAAAAATATACCCCCACGAGTGATTAGAGATCTTTTTATGCGACTATGATCCGGGATGTTAATCGGAGGATCCACAGCCGCAGCCAATCAACAGATGAAAGTAATACCGAAAATGCAAGAAGAGTTCTTGCAGTAGTTCAAGACGCTCCGTCAAGAAAACTAGGCCAATGCGGCTTAAATTGCATTGCTTCAACAAATAAATGATGCTCTTCAGATAGCCATGGAGCAGATAGCCGCATAACCACCACTAGACAATGCCACGAGAGTCCCCCTCGACCATATTATACCTCCTATAGATGAGGCTCAAGCTAACGGGAGTCGGTAGGAGTAGAGGATGAGAACCAAAGCAGGAGCTTCGGAGAACCACCCTCATCAATGCACACAGGACGAGCAGGCAGATTCTAGCCACAAACTCATAGTGTGGCTGAATGGCACTTAAGAAGCCTTCGATGAAAAGAAGCTTTTGAGGATCTAGACACCAACTGAGATGGCCAATGAGCATAAGGCCTTTCTAGTGAAGACCCCATTTACCGATGAAATATATTATGTCAAAAGACCTAAGAAATTTAGCATGCCATCCTTCACATAGTTCAATGGCACAAGAGATCCTTCCCATCACCTCGATCACTTCTCCCAGAAGATGGCTCTAAATAACCACAATGAACGTTTATGTGCAAAGTTTTCCCAACTAGCTTGACAGCAGCCATATTAGAGTGGTTCAAGAACAAACCACACAAATCAATCCCGAACTATGAAACTTTGTGCGCCATGTTCTTAGCGTAATACTGCGATAATAAGAAGCAGAAAAAGACTTTCACTAGTCTCTACACTATAAGGCAAAAGAAAGGAGAACCGTTACAAGATTTCCTCTCCGGATATAACATAAAAGCGTTGAAAATAGTGTATTGCCACTGTGAAACAGTTGTGGAAGCATTCAAGATCGCCATGATCCAGGGGACTAAGTTCCCTACTTCTTTAGTCAAATACACTCCTCCAGACATGCAAACTCTTAACGCTAGGGCGCAAGTATATGTCCGACTCGAGGAGAATGTAGCCAATAAAATACAGCATGTCACCATCGTTAAGGTAGATAATAAGCCTCGGGAAAAAGCCTCGAGCTCAAAAAACCAAAGAAATCGACATGCCTCGATACCAACAGTCCAACTACCTAAGAAGAGGCAGAGGACTGAGGAAAGGCTAACCTCTCTGTACGACCTTAGCCCGACTATTCCAGGAGAACAAAGCAAGATTCCCAGTCCCCCAACCGATGCGACAACCTCTGGAACAGATGGATAAAAGTAAGTACTGCGCCTACTATAGGGATTATGGGCATACCACTAATGATTACAGGTCCCTTCGGCGACAGGTGGAAACCATGATAGCTAGAGGAAACCTAACAGGCTATGTCGGGCTGAAGGAGCAAACAAGGCCGAAGGAGGTAAATCCTTGTAAATTGGAAGGCAATCAAGTGAAGGTCATTCACGCGATACATAAAAATTCAGAGGAAGATCAGGAGTCAGAAGAGGTGTACCACTCCAGATTGAGAGCAATCCATAAGCTGAGGAAGTTATCCTCAGTTAATACCATCACCTCGGGCAGTATTAGGATCAGGTTCAGAGATAAAGATCTGTCCAGAATACAGCTTCCCCACGAAGATCCACTCGTCATTAGCCTTCTGGTAGCAAACTGCATGATTAAAAGAGTCCTAGTAGACCCTGGCAGCAGCACTAATATTATAACTAAGGCAGTCTTTGAGCAATTGGAGATCCCATCATCGTCAATTAGAACCACTTCTAGCCTTTTATTGGGTTCAATGGAATGAAGGCAGACCCCATTGGAATAATAGATTTTTCAGTCACTGCCACTAAAAGGACACTGAAGGAAAACTTCGTCTTGATAGAATTCACCCTTCTTACAATCTCATCAGGGGGAGGGGGTGGATTCACTGAATGAAGGGAGTACCATCTACTCTACACCAGGTGATGTGATGCTTGTCTCCAGATGGAAAAGAAGTCATCAACTTTTGGGGAGATCAAGCCGCTGTAAAAGAATGTTATATTTTGGCACTAAAGGGAGCAAGGAAAGGAACTAAAACACCCAGATCAGATACAGCCTCCGAGGGTACTACTAAATAACAATTACATAGCCGTCTGCCTAAGTATTTGGAAGTAGAGGCAGAGACAGCAAAATCAACTGAAGAATCTCTTGAATCTATCAAAGTTATCCTGGGTAATCCACAGAAAGTCACTTATATAGGATCCTCCCACTCGCCAGAGGAGAGAAAGAAGTTGGTTGACGTCATCCGGAGAAATAAAGATATGTTCACATGGACCCACTCAAAAATGCCTAGGATTAATCCTTTGGTCTCGTGCAATAACCTCAGAATAGATCCCTCATTCAAACCAGTTAAACAAAAACATAGAAGGTTCCCTTCATCAAAGAAGTGCATTACCCCCAGTGGCTCTCGAAGGTGGTGGTGGTTCAAAAGAACAATGGAAAGTGCATAGATTTCACCAATCTTAACAAGGCTTTCCCCAAAGATAGTTTTCCATTACCGAAGATAGATCAAATGGTAGATGCTACCAAAGGTTACGAGCGACTCACCGTCCTTGACGCATACTCCAGATACAATCAGATTCCCATGAATTCGGATAAGGAGGACACAGAGAAGGGAACCTATTATTACAAAGTAATGCCCTTCGGGCTTAAGAATGCCTGGGCTACTTACCAGTGCTTCATCAACAAGATCTTCAATGAGATGCTGGGGAAGACAGTGAAATCTTATATCGACGACATGGTTGTCAAAAGTGAGAAGAAAAAAGATCACCCCAAGCACCTCCAAGAGGTATTCAACACTCTGAGAAAATTCAATATGAGATTGAACCCCTCTAAATGTTCCTTTGTAGTATCTTTGGGAAAATTCCTCGACCATATTGTCAACAAAAGAGGGATAGAAGTAAGCCCGGCTCAGGCTAGGACCTAGTACAGAATCAGGAGCCAAAAACCTGGAGAGAAGTGCAGATCCTAACCAGCAGGATAACAGCACTCAACTGCTTCATATCCCTATTGTTCGATAAGTGCAAGTCGTTCTTTGATGCCATACGATCGAAGAACAGAGACATATGGGGACCTCAACAGTAAGAGGCTCTCACTAAACTGAATTATTATATGACTAAACCACCAATTTTGTCTACCCCGAGACCTGATGAAACCCTCACCATGTATTTAGCAATCTCCAGCATAGCCACAAGTGAAGTTCTGATCTGAGAGGAATGAGGGAATCAGCACCCAGTCTTCTACACAAGTAAGAGAATGAATGATGCCAAAATAAGATAAAGCAAAGCAGAAAAGATCATACTAGCCCTAGTGTACGCGAAGAGAAAGCTTTGGCACTACTTTGAGTCTCACCGCATTGTGGTCCTCACAAATTATCCTATACGAGCCATCCTATCCAAACCAGATCGGTTTTGAAGAATCACCAAATGGGCAATTAAACTTAGTTCCTTCAATATTTCCTATGAGCCAAAGGTATCACACAAAGGACAAGCCAATGCCGATTTCCTCCTTAAATATGAAAATAAGCCTGAAGGACTAGAACCTTCAGAACCACAGTGGGAACTTCATGTAGATGGTTCCTCAAACCTGACCAATGCAGGAACAGGGATCATCATCACAACTCCCGAAGGGACTAAGCTACAACACTCAATCCGTTTAGATTTTCCCGCCACCAACAATGAGGCCGAATATGAGGCCTTGCTAGCTGGACTTTGATTGGCAAACCAACTTAAGGTAAAGTGTCTAAAAGTTTTTAGTGACTTACAATGTTGGCCTAAGGATTTTATCTAAAGGTCAATCTTATGTTTTGATGATTACAATCCATTAATGATGTTTATGTACTAATATTTTCATTGAGTGAAGTATAGTTGTTCAATCATTCAATCCTTAATGATGAGCTAGAAGTTCCATTTCAAGCATTCCAAACACTCAAGCAATGATTTCAAAGAAGCATCAAAGTGCAAGAAAATAAAGAAGAACTCGGTCTTCAAAGATCATTTAAGCTTTTCAGCAAATCTTCATCAAGCCTAGACGATCATGATCAAGAAATGAAGAAAAGGGTAGATAGGATGGTGAGATACTAAGGTTCAATGTCAAAGTTCAGTTGAATATATTTTGAAGCTCAAAATTACAATTCATGCATATCATTCTCATCTCATCTCTCAAAGAACATAAAATTAGCTCATTAGGTTTTTAAACACATTCATATGAGCCTTACATCATACTGGAATTCATTTTAAGCCTCTACTGAAAGTAGAGAAGGCTCTACAAAAAGTAGAGAAGGCTCTTTGAAAGTAGAGAAGGCTCTAAAAATCTAGAGAAGGCTCCATTTGTATATTGAGCAGTCTCCTTTTCAGAAAAAGAGCCTGCTCCACTTTTTTAATGGAGCCGCCTCCATTTGAAATTGAGCCGCCTCCACTTTTACAAAGAGCCGGCTCCTTCTAGGGTTTTGATCTACAACAAAAACTTTTTCATTTATTATTTTCCAACCACCTGCAACAGCTATATCGACCATTGTTTATCTATAAATACAGAGGTTGGTCTGCATCAAAAATTTGTACAATTACAGAGAGCATTCTACCATTCCTAAAAAGCATTAAAGAAGCATTCGTTGAGCTTTCATTCCCCCTGCTTTCATTTCCTCTCTTACATTTCATTCTACTGTAGTAATTCTGGGCTTCAGATATATATTCATCTTTACTATAGTCGTGAGCAGAACTGTGTACTTCTATCTTTGAGAGATTTATTGTACAATTCATTTCTTTTCAAGTTATTGTAAAAGGGTTGGTGTGACCCAAAAGAAAGTCTAGGAGAAGGGTGTTCTCTTAGCAAGGAAGAGAAGCAAGGTCTTGCTTAAACTGAAGGTTTGCTCTCCACCATTAACAAGAAGCTCTAGTGATTTTGGGAAGTCTCAAGGGGGACCTTGAGCCGAGGAGTAGGAGTTTCCGAACCTCGCTAAATCACCGAGTCATTGTTTGCAATCTCTCATCTCTATCTCTCTTATACTTGTGCCATACACTGCTTGAATATTTCAGTTTCTATGTGATTAATAGTCTGTTAGATTTAATATTTTTAAATTGCAAAAATTGGCCCTTAACTCTATTCACCCTCCCTCTAGAGTCAATTAGTGACTAACAATTGGTATCAGAGCCTAATCTCTAGAAAAAGATCTAACCATCTTAGAGAACGACCATGGCCAATACAATTTTTCATCAAGAAGGTCAATCTAACAATAGACCTCCTTGGTTTGACGGAAATGACTACAACTATTGGAAGATCAAAATGAGAGCATTTCTAAGAGGTGTTGATATAGATGTCTGGAAAGCCACAGAAAAAGGGGACCACGTTCCAACCAAAATTGTAAATGGTGAAACTGTTCCAACACCTGATATTGAATGGACCCTAAATGACCATAGGCTTGTACAATGTAATGTCAAGGCTATCACCAATCTCTATTGTGCTTTAAGCAAAGACAAATTCAATAGAATTTCGGATTGCGAAACAGCCAAAGAAATTTGGGATAAACTTGAAGTTATCTGTGTAAGGACCAGTCATGTAAAGGAATCCAAAATGAATATGCTTGTCCATAAATATGAACTTTTCACTATGAACAACAGAGAAACTATTAGTGAAATGCATTCACGTTTTACTAACATTGTGAATCCTTTGAAGGCTCTTGGAAGATCATATACATCGTCCGACAATGTGAGAAAAATTCTTAGGTCTCTGGCTAAAAACTGGGAAGCCAAGAAGACCGCCATCCAAGAGGCCAAGGATCTCAATACATTCCCCATAGATGAACTTATTGGCTCATTAATGGCCTATGAGTTAGAGATTAATGATAGAGATGAAGACAAAGAAGCTCAAAAGAAGGATATAGCTTTTCAAGCCTCTGCGAAAGAAGTCACAATTGATAAAGCTCCTAATGATGAAGAAGAAGAAGAAGTTGCTTTCATTACCAAGACCGTGAGAAGAGTTCTTCAAATGAAAAAATTCCAAAAGAGTAACAACTTCAAAAGAAATGGTGCATCAAGTGAGCAAGGAAAAAGAGAAGCACCTACATGTTTTCATTGTGGAAAATCGGGACATTTCAAATCCGATTGCTTTACCTACAAAAATGAAAAAGAAAGGAAAAAGAAAGGCAAAGCCATGTGAGCTACATGGGAAGATGATGATTCAAATGGATCCGAAAGTGACGATGAACTCAATGAATTGGTCAATCTTTGTCTCATGGCCGATGAAGATGAGGTAAATTCTAATCATGACTCATTTGATTTAGAAACTTCATATGATGAATTAGTTGATGCACACAATTATTTGCTAGATGCTTTTAAAGAATTACATGATAAATTAGGCAAAATGGTTCAAAAGTGTGCTAGCCTTAGAAGAGAAAAGCTTATCATCTCTCAAAACCTTGAAAAATCTCAACTTGAAAATGAAACCTTGAAAAAGGAAAAAGAATTAGCTAAAGAAGCAGCCTCAATTGAGTTAATTTCTGAAAATGAATCATTGAAAGTCATTATTGAGGATCAAGTTGAAACCTTAGCCAAATTCACAAAAGGAAGAGAGAATTTAAGCATCATTCTTGGAAAGCAACGAAATGCTTATGCTAAGGATGGGCTTCGATTTGATCCTCATAACAAAGATTCATGTTTATTAAAAAGGAAAAGGCCCTTGAACAATTACTTTGTTAAAAATTTCTCTTTTAGTCCAACATGCAATTATTGTAAAAAGATAGGACATAAGATCAATCATTGTCCTATTAGG